TAGAATTAAAAAAATATTTTGGTATATCCATATTAACACTACATAGCAATGGCAATGAACAGTCCGCAAATACACTAAAAATATGAATGATCTCCCAAACATAATGTTGAAAGGGAAAAAGTCAGACACACAAAAAAATGATATCTTTTATGTAAAAAACATAAACAGGTAAAATTAATCTTTACTGTTACGAACGGGGTAGTAACTGGAGGGAACACAGTGGGAACTTGTAGAGAGTATGTATGTGTGCGGTTTGCGAAAATATACATACACTTGTACAATGTATATTATATTTCAGTTAAAAAAAAAAGGTATAAGCTCTGAAAAGTGCTTGGGTTTGCATCCTAGCTGTAGCAACTAATTATGTGACCTTGGGAAATTTAGAACACCTCTCAAAGCCTTAGTTTCCTTATTTATAAAATGAAAATAGTAATACTATCTCTTAAGATTTGTTAGGATTGAATGAGATGATGCATTTAATTTTTTTCAGCCCAGTGCCTGGCACAGACCTAACACTCAATAAATTGTTACTGGGTCACACAGAACTACAAATTAAAATGTTCTTCTATGCCAGGGTCTCTGCACTAATATTGTTAAAGATGTTACCCAGTTGTTTCTTCCTCAAATTCCTAATTCATCAAACCGAAGAAATACAGGGATCCTACAGAAAAAACTCTAACCAAACAATATTTATAAAATGGAAATGCTATATAAAAGCACTAAGCTCAGAAGTAAATATAACAAAGGTAGCAAAGCCAAAAAGCATGAAAAACACAAGAAAATAAGAGACATATGGTGGAAAGTGTAACAGTAAAGATTATAAGAAAACAAAGAAACGGAGCAATTCAAAAGTAACCAAAATATGAAAGCTGCCATCATGGTCCATCTCACTCACGATAAGCAGCCCTCGACTCTAACACGTTCATCCGATCATCTGAAATCTAAGTACTGAACTCCTGCTGTGAACCCAATACCATGCCAGGAACAGAAGCAGCAGAAATGAACAAAGACAGTCCGCCCTAGAAAAGCCTGTCAGGCAGAAAAAAAAAACGTAACAATCTAACAGTTGTTACAGTACAGGTGTGCACCAAGCATTACCTTCACTGGCTTCCAAGCACTGGAGGGACGGCCAGGAAAGACCTAACAAATGAGATCTTGTACCGGGTCTGTCGTCTTTCTTCCCTGACTTAATCTATTTTGTTTTTTTAAGAGACAGGGTCTCACTGTCTCGCCCAGGCTAGGGTGCAGTGGCACAATCACAGTTCACTGCAGCCTCGAATTCCTGGGCTTAAGCAATCTTCCTGCCTCAGCCTCCCAATGTGCTGGGACTACAGGGGTGCCCACCCCCATGCCCGGCTAATTTCTTTATTTTTTTTAGAGATAGGGTCTCATCACATTATCCAGTCTGGTCTCAAACTCCTGGGCTCAAATGATCCTTCCACCTCAGGTTCCCAAAGTGCTGCGATTAAAGCACGAGCCACAGCAGCTGGCCTCCTGGCTCAATCCTGCGGAGGTTCTGCATGTGAAACGAGGTAGGGAGAAGGCCATTCCAGGCAAAGGCACAGAGACGTGAAAAAGCATGAAACATCTGAGAATCAGTAAGGAGCTGAGAGTGCTCAAGCCCCAGATATGCAGATAGGAATCAACATAAGATAAGAGAATGAAAAAGAAAATCACAAAGGGCCATACACACAACGCTAAAAAGTTTGGGCTTTATCTTAGCCGAGGTTCTAAACAGTGGTTTACAAAGTCCTAGAAGTTCAGGAAGGTGTTCCAGGAATTCATGCTGCCCTCTGTTAATAAACAAGAGAGCAAATGAAATATTTTTTGTTTTTTTAAAAAGAACAAACTGATAGACTTTAGTTGTATATCAAATGAGAAGTACAACTTAGAAGAAATAAAATGACTATACAGAGATTCAAGTCACTCAGCTGATTAATCAGAGTACCCAAGATGGTTCTGATGGTTTCACAACTTGAAACTTTTTTTTCCCTTAGCCATACGTGGTTTAATGTCCATCAATACTGGACTACTGGGCCAGGGGTGGTGGCCTGCAATCCTAGCTCTCTGGGAGGCTCAGGCAGGAGGGTCGCTTGAGGTCATGAGTTTGAGACCAGCCTCAGCAAAAGTGAGACCCTGTCTTTACTAAAAATAGAA